GGTCCTGGGTGGTGTTGCCTTCCATCTGTCAGAGGCGACGAACAGAAGGCCACGTCCAGCTGCGATGGACCTGCGGCCAGTCGGCCCTCATTCCTGGGGTCGAGGCCCCGTCTCCCTCATGTCGCTGAGTTCTCTGTTGAGTTCCCATCGTCTTGGCAGTGGCACTGCACTAGCTCTGCACAGGTAGTGGCTGGCCCAGGGCCTGGAGGAGAGGGGCCTCCTCCTCCCTCCCCCTCAGGCTGCGGCTTCTGGGAAGCTCTGCTCCTGTTCTTGGTGCTCAGCTCCTCCAGTCATCCTGGAGTCCAGATCGCTGTCCTGCCTTGTGCGCACAGCTGGCACCACAGACTGCTAGTGCCCAGGACAGCAAGTTTAGCCTCTCTAAGGGCCTGACTGTTGTCTGGGGTCTGGCTTCCCATCTCTAAGGTCCCGAACATGTTTGGGTTTTCATCCAGCTTTGAGAGCTAAGTGGGAAGCCAATCTGATAGCAGCTCTTTTGGCATAGCTTGAGGCAGATGTTTCTTAGTGAGTTTGAGAAAATAAACCTATTGCCTGTGATGTTATGAGTCTTTTTCTGGTTTGTCAAGTCAGTTTTTTTTGGGTCCGGTCGTGGGGCCTGTACTCTGGGCCTGGGCGCTGTCCCTCAGCTCTTCAGCTCAAGGCTAGCGCTCTACCACTTGAGCCACAGCGCCACTTCCGGCTTTTTTCTTCCTGCTTATGTGGTGCTGAGGAATCGAACCCAGGGCCTCAAGCATGCAAGGCAAGCGTTCTACCACTGAGCCACCTTCCCAGCCCCAAGTCCAAGTTTTTATGCCTATTAGGTGTGTGTGAGTGCGTGCGTGCGTGCGTTTTACTGGGCCTTGCACTCAGAGTTTTGCACTTTCTAGCCATGTGATGTATCACTTGAGTGATGTTTTCCTGGTGCTTCTGCTGCTGCTTTTTTAAAAGTAGAGTCAGACTCCAGTACTATTGTTATTGTTACTTTAAAATATTTTTGGTAGTACCGGGGTGGCAGAGCCTTGGGCTTGCTGGGCAGGTGTTCTGCTACCTGAGCCATACCCTCAATTTATACCAGTAATATTTTCAAAAACTTGTTCATGGTTTTATTCAGTACTTTATGATTTCACGTTTAAATCGCGATCAGTTTGTATTTTCTTAGTGCAAGAAACAAAGTATCTTGGTTTTTGCAAGACGGCTCCTAATTGTTGAATATTGTTTGTTGGAGGACCTATCACAGAGATGCATGATTTGCATACTTCCCACTGAAATGAAATGTCTCCATTAGCATACATTAAAGTCTTGTACATGTTTGGGCCTGCTTTGGAACTTACTTTGGTTGGCTGGTTGGCTGTCTGTCCTTCCGTACTGTTGTAGTTCCCATGGCCTTGTACTTGTCCTCACTACATTTTCACCTGTCACTCTCTAAACCTTTTTTTTTGGTTGGTTGCGGGGCTTGAACTCTGGTCTTAGGCGCTGTCGCTGCACTCTTCAGCTCAAGGAGAGCGCTCTGCGGCTTGAGCCACAGTGCCACCTTCAGTTTTCTAGAGGTTTTTATTGAGATAAGAGTCTCACGGACTTTCCTGCCTGGGCTGGCTTTGAACTGTGATCCTCAGATCTCAGCCTCCTGAGTAGTTAGGATTACAGGCGTGAGCCACCGGGGCAGCGCCCGGCTCCTCTAAATCTTTTAATTCTAATTCATCCTCTTTTTCTTATGAATTAATTTTCTGGATATATTTGTTTGCTTTTAGTCCATACGAATGTTTGACTTCAGTTGATCCAACCTTAACAAAAATAAGTCTTGCCCTTATTTTTAGATCTAGTTGGAATTTATCGGAACTGTGGTTGAATTCAGGAAGTTTGATATCTCTGACATCTCTGGCTACTTTACGGGCATGCTCATGAGCTTCCTGTTCAGAGGTGTGGGGTGTGGTACACCGTTACTCACCTGTCAGCAGGCCCTTCCGTTTCCTGCTGTTCTGAGTGCCTTTGTGCATCCTGGCGGACCTCTTCCATTGGGAAGGATCTGATTCTTCCGTGGCTTAGCTGTGGGGTTGTTACTTGTGTGTAGAAGCCGTGGGTTTTCATATATTAATTTTTTACCTGTTTAGCTCACTGAACTCTCTCTGAATCTTTCAGTTCTTCACTTGCAGCTGATACTTTCACATTCCTCCTTCTAGTCCCTGTTTTCTCTCTTCTGCATGTGAAGTCCTGTCTTGTTGCTGCGGTAACAGGCGTGGGCAGCTGGCATCGTCTTGGCTCAGCTGGGACTGCCTGTAGTGTTAACCACTCAGCCCAGTGTTGATACTTGGTTTGACATGTGAACAAGCATGATCACAGCTTCATGAGCACGTAGAAGTGATGGCTGCATTGTGTCAGTCGTGCGCGCTCGTTGCTGTACGTCTTAAGCTCTGGGACGTATGTGAGATTGCCTGGACAGCCCTCTGACTCTGTATGGAGGATGCCGTGGCTCTCGCTCCGCGTTAGTATCTGGAGAAGTTGCCTGGCAGCTGCCATGCCAGGCTGCTCTGGACTGAGTCACAGGGAGCCGCTGACTGGCGTGCTGGAGCTCAGAGCCTGGGCTTTCCCAGGTGGCTCCCCTAGGAGCAGCTGTGATGCTCCTGCAGAAGGACAGGTCCAGAATCAGAACTGCTGCTTGCATGACTTCTGCCGCATGGAGCTTGTGTCCTGTCCCTGGGCCCCACCAGTAGCCAGTGCGTGGTGGATCCTGGGGAAGGCTGGGCCTGTGTCACTTTGAGATGGTCTGTGGAGAATAGTTAGAAAGCTTGAAGATGGAAATTGCCCCAGTGAGCCAAAGGAAACTGAGTCTGCCTGGCCCTTTGTCATGGAAATCAGCAAGAGGCCTCCCGTCCTCAGCGAGGTCCTCAGCGAGGTTATCCAGTGTGTGGATTTGATGTTTGGTGCTGTGGAGCCAGCAGGGGGCGCGAGAGCCAGATGGGCTATGCCTGCAGCAGAGGAGCTGGGAAGGCCAGTCCAGGGAGGGAGAGGCTGGGGCAGCCCCAGGGACCCCAGGGAAGAAAGCCTGCTCTTGGCACCTCTAGACACAAGAGCTTGTCAGCCTTGGTCTGCAGCCAAGGTGGTGAGGCTGGGCTGCCCACTCACCTGGCCATGGACCTTCATTGGGGTTTAGGACTGCAGAGTGGTGGCCCCTGACTCCAGGAGTCCGCGCCCAGTGAAGCCCAGAGTGTAGATTCGTGTTGTTCAGACTAGAGAGCAAGCATTTTTTGCACAGTCAGGCCCCTGGTTTTCCCAAGCCTGACCTGAGCCAAGTTATCCAGGTGTATCTGCCCCTCTCTTCCTGGCTGGTGTTGGGGCCTGGCCTGTGCTCTGTATCCTGGCCAGGCTTTTCCCTGGTCAGGCTGAACGGGACCAGCTGCCCTTCCTCTGCTTCCCAGTCTGCCTCCCATGGACGGTTGGAGCACAGGGCTGGCTTGTGGTCCTTGTCCGGGACCCCGGAATCCACGAATCCGGTGGACGTGGTTTGCCCGCCATCCGTGGTCAGATCCCCATGCCTGCACAGAGCAGCACCTGGGCCCTGCTCCACCTGCACTCATCCCACAAGCCCGTGTCTGTGCTGAAGTACTGGGGACCCTGGGTCTGTTCGGCTCTGTGGCTCTGTGGTCAGCCCTCTGAGGGCCTTAGGGTCAGTTCTACCATGTAGACAGGCATTGACCATCACCGTGGACCGGGCTCACATCCCAAGACGGTCACAGACGGTCACCGTGGACCGGGCTCACGTCCCAAGACGGTCACAGACGGTCACAGACGGTCACCGTGGACCGGGCTCACGTCCCATGGCGGTCACAGACGGTCACAGACAGTCACAGATGGTCACCGTGGACCGGGCTCACATCACAGAGGGTCACCGTGGACTGGGCTCACATCCCAAGACGGTCACAGACGGTCACAGACGGTCACCGTGGACCGGGCTCACGTCCCATGGCGGTCACAGACGGTCACCGTGGACCGGGCTCACGTCCCATGGCGGTCACAGACGGTCACCGTGGACTGGGCTCACGTGCCAAAGCAGTTACTGACTGCCATGACCCATTGGTGTTCCTGCCCACCTTTCCCACGGCCCACCCAGGTTGCTGAGGGCCTCCGAGGTTGGGTGCAGCCCCGTTTTATTATCTAGAGCTGCTCTTCGTGCTGGCGGGCACTGTCCCTCGAGGGTCTGCTTCACAATGAGGCAGAGGTGACATGCTGATGTTCAGGGCTCTGTAGATGTTTTGGAGCTCAGCTGGGGACGGAGCGTGGCCTGGAGCTCTGGCCTCTGAGCTCCGTACTGTAGCGTTGGTTGTAGGTTCTGACCCCTCCGTGGAGCTCAGGAGCCGTGGTTGCTGCTGGCGGCCTGCCTGTCCTTGTGCACGCTGGGCTGGCCCTGCACGCCCTGTGTCTGTGTGATGGTCAGTCATCTCATGAAAGCCAAGCGTGGCATGTTCACCTGTAATCCCAGCCCGCAGGAGGCTGAGGCTAGCCTGGCCTGCTTAAGGAGACCTTGTCTAAATGAGTGAATGAGAGAGAACCAGCAAGTGAGCGAGCAAGACACAGACAGACAGACAGACCCACCTACCCTCTTAAACCTGAACAAAGCAGGCTTGGGGCCTGAATTGTCACACACACAGCCTCTGTTTCTCTGAGACTCTTGCTTTCCATCGCGCGGCCCCCCTTTGTGTCTGGTCTTGTGTTGTCCTCACCTCGCCCCAGCACACCTGGTCCTCCCTCCCCGCCGCGGGGCCCCGCAGCCTGGCGGGTGGTCCCAGTGGACAGATGGCTTTGATAGATTAAGGAATGATGACACAGAAAGTTCTGCTACGTCATGGATTCTAGTGGTGGTCAGCCTTACAGGCCGGGGAAGCTGTTGTGTTCCGCCCCCTCCTACTCCCCCTGCCCCCACCCTCTGCTTTGTGTGAAGAAGAGTCTGCGGGGGGGGGGGGGCGGGGGGGTGCTGTGGCTTCTCCCAGCTTGGGTCTTGTCTCCTCCAGGTGGTGCTCTGGGTCGGCCTGGGTGTTCTGGTGGTCAGCACGTTCACCACCCTGTCTGTGAGTGAGGAGCCGCCTGTGGACGTGGCCAAGGAGGCGCTGGACAGTGGCGGGCAGGGAGAGGCCCAGGGCGCCATGAAGGGGGAGGCGGCCCGCCTCTCAGGTAAGACGCTGGCCCCACCAGCCAAGTATCTACAGGGGCCGTGGGGTGCGGGGGGCACTTTCCAAGTGCCCTCAGGTTCTGCAGACTCCATCCTGCAGGTCCAGAACCTGTGGCCGCTGTGGAGGTGCACTCGGCACTCAGAGCTGGGCAGCCCACACCTGGTCACCTGTGGGCCGGAGCCACGCTGTGCGGGCCTGAGGTCTCCATGCCCCGCCATGCGGGGTGCCAGCATCTGTAAACCTACAGGCTTTGTGTTCAAGGATGGGAGTCTCAAGCCAGTTTTCTCTCTAACAAAGCCATGGACCGTCTCAGGTTGGTCAGTCCCTTCCGATTGAGATTTCCTTGCAAGGCCACCTCGGAGGGGCCTGGCAGTCTAGTGGGTGCACAGGGCAGGTACTTTCAGAGGAAGTTCTGTGTCATTGGGTGTCTCGTGCGCCCCAGCCACCCAGGCAGAGGAGAAGGGCAGCAGGTGCACGCACGCTGTGAAAACGCCGCTCGGGCTCACGCTGGCCAGCCTGGGGAACAGGAGCGGCCCGTATGGGCGCTGCTGCCAGGGCGTCATCCCGGGCTCCCGGCCTGGCCGCAGCCGGGGGTTACGCACCTGTGCTGGTCTCACTCACTTCGGCCAAGAGGTTAGACTCATTCGCCGGGCCTCTGCGCACTGCAGCTGGGGGCAGCCTCAGCTGGGGAAGCTGGTGCCAGTGTTTGTCAGGTCAGCGCTAAGCTATAGCTGGGGTTGCAGAAGGAAGCGCACCCGGGGCCCTAGCACTGGCCTGACCACCCCGCGCCCCGCGCCCCGCCCACAGCTCACGCGCCTGAAAAGCCCTTCGCTCCACCCCTCCTAGGTGCCCGGTGGGTCTTCCCCCCGCCTTCTCCACCCTGGTGTGGGGGAGCTGTGCGTGCTTTTTTCTGCCTCCCTGGGTTGACGGGCAGGTGAGAAGCAGCTTCCTGCCTCACTCCCTGCGATCACAACATCGAGGCATAAGAAAGGCCTGCTGGGGGCCCTGGGGACAGCGGGGGCCCCGAGGGGAGTGGGGGTGTTCAGAAGCTGCAGGCGCTGTGCACTGCACACACGGACTTGGTCGTTTGGAGTTGGCGTGTGTGAGGTAGGTAGGTACTGGTTTCAACCTCCACTGTTGGCCCTGGCCCAGTCCCTCCTGGGAAGGCTGTGGGCGGCTGCTGCCAGGCCACCGTGGGTTGGGGCGAGAGCAGTGGCCGGTGAGTCAGGAGCTGCGGAGGGGTGCCGGGGTCCTGCTCCCGGTCAGGGAGGACTCCCTGGGGGAACCGGACGGAGAGTCCCTCAGCGAGACCCGTCCGCGGGCCCCGCGGCCTCGTCCATGGCCAGCAGCCTCTGCGCAGCACGCGTGCGGCCACCCGCTCACCTGCGTGCTCCGCCACATCTGGATTCCATTTCTCCGTGAGGCTGTGTGTGACAGCACCATGTGCTGTCCACCTGAGCCAGCTCTGTTTTCTCGCCACCTGGCCACCCCTTCATGGAGGGACGCCTCCCCGGGGGGTGGGGGGGACGCCTCCCGGGGCAGAGCCAGGCTGGCGCGGCCTTCCCCGACGTGCGCCCGTCGGCCGCCCCATGAGCATGGGAGCCGTTTATTGGTCTCTGATGTTGGGGAGGCTGCAGATGGAATCCGTCTGCTCTGGGGAGAGTCTGTCTGCCTCCGGCCCCCTGGACACACGTGACCAGCGCCCCCCAGCCGCCAGGGGCATGGCCGAGTCCCTGTGATGGCTCAGAAAAGGCAAATGAGGTCATTTGTCTCTGTGCCCACAGTGCCTGAGGGGACCCTGGAGTGGCTTTGGGGTGCTCTGGCTCTTTTCTTCGGAAGCTGCCTGGGCCTACATCTCTGCCCCCCCATCCCACACCCTGTCCCAGCTCGGGGATGTGTGCGTCTGTGCCCCCCCATCCCACACCCTGTCCCAGCTCAGGGATGCGCGCGTCTGTGCCCCCCCTTCCTCCCTCGTATCCCACACCCTGTCCCAGCTCAGGGATGTGCGTCTGTGCCCCCCCCACCCCACACCCTGTCCCAGCTCAGGGATGTGTGCGTCTGTTCCCCCCCTCCCCCCCATATCCCGCACCCTGTCCCAGCTCAGGGATGCGTGCGTCTGTGCCCCCCCCATCCCACACCCTGTCCCAGCTCAGGGATGCGTGCGTCTGTGCCCCTCCTCCCCCCGTATCCCACACCCTGTCCCAGCTCAGGGATGCGCGTCTGTGCCCTCACCCCCCCCCCGTACCCCACACCCTGTCCCAGCTCGGGGATGTGTGCGTCTGTGCCCTCACCCCCCCCCCGTATCCCACACCCTGTCCCAGCTCAGGGATGCGTGCGTCTGTGCCCCTCCTCCCCCCGTATCCCACACCCTGTCCCAGCTTGGGGATGCACGCGTCTGGAGGGAGAGGTGGACAGCAGTGACTGGGATGGGCCTTGAGTGCTGTCAGGCCCTGGGTGGAGGTGACCCAGGCGCCAGCGGGACACGGCCACCTCCTGCTGTCCTGTGCCTCCCCGCTCCAAGGACCTGCCTTGGCCCAGGGCCGCCTGTGCTGGCCGCCCCGCCGGAGGAGGGCAACGGCCCGGGCTCCTCACCATAGGCCGAGCCGTCCTCAGGAGAGCCCCCGCCAGCCTGCCCTCCCCCCCAGCCGGGGCCGTACCGAGCACCGCCAGCTGGCCTGGGCCTCGCCGGGCCTGTGTCCCGAGCTCTGCGCCCCTCGCTCCTCTCACAGTTTTCGTTTCTCCTCACACATCTGCAGCCTGCAGAGAGCTCATCCCACTGGTGCTGTCCGCGTGACGGGTCCAGAGGGGAAGCTTGATGCGTCCCACTGGCCACGTTTGTGTGTGTGTGTGTGTGTGTGTGTGTGTGTGTGTGTGACTTGGGTCTGCATGCCTCTGGCAAAAGTGGCACCCCACCTGCCCGGCAGGGAGAAGGGGGCTCCTCGGTGCCCTGCACCGCGCTGCCGGTCCTGGTCTACCACCCCAGACCCCACGTACCAGGCCAAGACGCCAAGCCACAGAAGCTGCTCACCTTTAGGAAGATGAGAGATAATTAGGCGTTTGGCGGCTGACTCCAGGAGACCTGGCTTGAAAAGCAAGCCCGGGTGTGTGGTGCATACCCGCCGTCCCAGCTCCTTGAGAGATAGAGGCCGGAGGATCATGAGTTTGAGGCCAGCCCAGATACAGTCAGCAGTGAGACGTAGAAACAAAACATAAAGGAGAGGGCTAGGGCACGCCTAGCCTGGCTGCCTGAGGCCCTGGGCTCCAGGCTAGCCCATGAGCGGCGGCCATGGTTGAAGGTTGCCAAGAGCAGGGCTGGCTTTGGGGCGGTGAGGGAGCCCAGGTTGCGGGCGCCTGGGCGCCAGCTGTCCTCCCGCTGTGGGACTGCTCAGCGCTGCTCTCGGCATGGCCCCATGGGAACTGTCCCCCTCTTCACCACTGCCAGACACTCGGTGGCAGCCGGCAGTGCTCCCAGGCTGGGGAGCCGCTCCTGCCTCGCACCCCCCGCCTCGCGCCCCCCCCCCCGCCTCGCGCCCCGCCCCCCCTTCCCTGGGCTTCCTCTCCCGGGGCGCAGTGACCTCTGAGACGTCTGCGCTGCAGGCCCTGTGGCCCTGGCCGCAGGGGGATGGTGTTGGTGGTGCTGCCACCGCCATCTGTGGGGCAGGGCCTTGGCATCCTCAGCCATCGGCCCCGAGCAGCTCCCGTGTGAACTGGCCTGGGGCGCTGGCACCCCACGCCCGCCAGGCAGCATTGTTACTTGTGTGTCATGGTCATCTGGCTGCGGGAAGCAAGTAGAGGTCAGGGGTCTGCCTAGCTGCCAGTCACATGTCTGGGGAAGGGCGAGCTTCTCTGTGGAGGAAGCTATGTCCATGCCCACTGGCAGCCAGGCCTGCCAGGCCTGCCTCTGAGCCTCCGCCCGAGGCCGGCCCAGCACTCCTGGGAGCTCTCAGGGCAGTCCCAGGCCTGCTGGGCATTCCTATCCTGCCCTGCAGCCACGCCCAGCGCCTGCGGCCCAGACCTGCTGAGAATTCTGCTCAGAGACCGGAGAACGGGGTTCCTGTCTCCGTACCCCACAGTCTCTGAGCACTGCTCTGCGGGTGCTTCTGACTCAGGAAGTGCGGTTAGTTGTAGGCTGGAGTCGGGTGCCCGCAGCCGCCTGGCCCAGCCACGCCACAGAGCCCAAGTCCCCGGGAAGCAGGTGCCCTCTAGCTTGTGACACCTGGCCCCACAGAGCATGGCCCTACCTGCATGCTTCTGCTAACCAGACCATTGGCTTGGTTGTATTCATGAGGCTCACCAAAGGGAAGGTGGCTTTCTGAACTTCCCTCTCCCACGGGAGGTGGTCAGCCCCCACCTGCTGTAGTGACAGACTCAGGCACAGCTTTTCGGGGTCCTCTGCACCCTTGCCTCCTCCCGCCCCCCATCTGTGCTTCCAGGCGAGGGACCGAGAGGTTGCTTTGGCCGCAGGGATGAAGTGATTCTCTTTTCAGAATGCTTGCCCTTTCTTTATTCTGTGTCTGCCGTGTCTGTCCGACACCTACAGGTGATCCTGTTAAATGGAAGTAGTTTCCTAGTCGGCCCCTCTGGAGTAGTTCTGTGGTCTGCGGCCCTGTGTTTTGTGGCTCCTGCAGGCCTGCACCAAGTCATTTTGGTAGCTGCTCATGGTGTGGATTTCCCCGCCAGCAGCGAGACTCCGCAGTGCTGCAAACTCACATTCCCTCCCCGCTTGGCTGCCTGTGGCTGGGAGCCCTGGAAAGGAAACCAACCCTCAGAGACAGGCAGCCTGCGGCGGGCTTATACCGCCACCTGGTGGTCATAGCCGAGTCCTACGTAGCGTGATTTGCACACTGTCAGTTAAGCGTACACTGCATTTTGACGTGTTTTTGTTACAAATACAAATGAAAAGTGAGTCTTCCGTGCTATTTAGTTGCTCGTGATTGATCAGAGAAGGGGAAAAAATGCCATTCAGCTGGGGAACATGATCAGACCCGGGGAGCACCACCAGGTGCGGTGCTGATTGAGAACTGGGTAAAAGCACAGCTCAGCTGACTGTGCTCTGTTTACAGTCCAGGACCCCATCGTGGACATGGCTGGGGATGGCCGGGAGAAGCCCAAGCTGCCCGTGGAGAAAGAGGACCTGGAGCAGGCCCAGATTAAGGGTCCTGTAGATGTGCGTGCAGGGGAGGACACCAAGGAGAAGCAGGAGGCCGCACAGGTGGATCGCCCGGGCCAAGGTGTGTGGTGCTGGCTGCCCGCGCAGGGTGCCCACCCTCCCTGCACCCCGTCGTAGGCTCAGGCTGCATCTCGCCCTTCCCCTGGGACGGACAGTTCTGAGCCGATGGAAGCTTGGGATGGGCTTGTCGATGTACTCGTCACACCCTGGGGGCCAAGCCCGGACCGGTTTCTGGGGAAGGATGCACCCAGGGGACCGCTCCCTGATCTTGGTCTCTTATCTGTCCTTGTGTCCTTCCAGGTATTGCTGCTCCCATGGGCGAGGCCCACCGGCACGAGCCTCCCGTTCCTCATGACCAGGTGGTGGTAGATGAAGGTCAAGATGGAGAAGGGCCAGAAGAGAATAAGCTACCTTCTAGACACCCTGGCAGGGAGGCCCCCAGGGGCAAGGGGCAGAGGGCACTGCCTCCGCCTGAGTCACAGAGAGAAGAGCAGCAGCCGGAGACGGGAGAGGCTGGCAAGAGGCCCGAGCAAGCCCAGGCCCTGGCCAAAGCAGGTGACCTTCCTAGAGATGCCCAACAGATTCCAGAAGCAGATGGTCAGCGCAGGAAGGACATCCCCAGACCAGGAGACAGGGACGCGCAGCCCGGGCCACGGGCCGCGGCGGCAGGTGAAGAGGAGCCTGCGCACGACGCCCCAGGGGACACGGGGAAGCCCACAGAGAAGGGCCCGGAGACCCAGCTGGGTGAGTGTCGGCCGGGGAGGGGCCTGGAGGAGCTGATGATCCCTCTGTCCCGTGTCTTTCCACGAGGTTGGCATGTGAATGGGGCAGCGCCTCCAGCACTGGCGGGAGAGGGAGAGGCTGCTGCTTGACAGCCACTGTGGTATCTGTCACACACTTGTTTGCCAGACGCCACGCAGTTCTCCTGTGTCTGGGTGCACACGAGGATGGTGCAGAGCGCCTGACAGGAAGCACATTGTTAAGAGCTGGTTAGGATGGGGCCTGCATTTTAATTGGCCAAGGTGGTTAACATTGGCCTGTTGCCACAGGCCTGTGAGATTGTCAAGCATTTACTTCCCTAGTAATCATCAGGTTGAGTATAAGCTGTGCTGATGGGGGACGGAGGGGCGGAGATCCGGAGTCATTTTTGGCCGTGGGGGGGGGATCTGTTGCCCACCTCCCCAGAGCCCTTCACTCCCCCCTGCCCCCCCCCAGTGTCTGCAAAACTCTGCACGTTTGTGTGCACAGGTGGGAAGGCCATTGTCCTCCCGGCTCAGCGGCCCGAGCAGGGAGGGCAGAAGCACATGCAGCAGCCAGGCGGAGAGCAGGCCGGCGGCAGCAAGCTCGAAGGTAAGGCTGGCCGAGGGCGGGGGCTGCGGGCGGGCGCTCACCCCACCACCACCTTCCCAGGGTGTCAGCCCCTCCTGGGTCCCACCAGCACATTCTCTTTGGAGAACGTTTTTTTTTTTTTTTTTGGTCTGGTAGTGGGGCCTGAACTCTGAGCCTGGGTGCTGTCCCTCAGCTCTTTAGCTCAAGGCTAGCGCTCTACCACTTGAGCCACAGTGCCACTTTGGCTTTTTTTTTTTCTGCTTATGTGGTGCTGAGGAATCGAACCCAGGGCCTCATGCATGCAAGGCGAGCGCTCTACCACTGAGCCACCTTCCCAGCCCCCGGTGGAACCTTTTCATCTCCATGACTCCCCTTTAAAAAGAACGTGCGCTGGTGGGCAGGGAGCAGGGAGCCAGCGGGCTGCTCGGCTCTCCGGGGGTCAAGTTCTGGGCACCAGCCTTGGCTGTCTGTGGACCTGGCCTACGTTTGGGGTATCCAGGGTTGGTAAAGTGCCCAGCTTTGTTTTCTGCCCAGGCCAACCCCAGCAGGGCCTGGGGCAGCCAGTCCCCCGCGGGCCAGGCTAGAGCAGGGCCATGGCCTGCGGTCTGGACGGTGGCCCCAGGACCCCTGCACCGCACAGGGCGCAGCTCAGGCTCCCGGAGTGTTGTCTGTGGTTTTAACCTGACTCTGTTGATTCTAATTTCTATAATCTGTTACCTAAACCTGCTTGATTCTCTGATTTATTTTGTTTTTCTGAAAAAGAGACTTGTCACAGTTTTCCTCTCTTACCTTTCTTCCGTATGCCTCTCAACGGACGAACAGCTGAAATTAAAAAGATAGTAGCAGGTAGGACTGGAAAGAAGTGTATGGAAGCGAAGAGCGTGTTTGTGGAGGGTTGGTGGTGCAGTCACAGCGTGGTGCACTGTCCAGCGAGGGCCCTGCATGGGCGCGTGCCTGCTCAGGCCTGTCCTTGACAAGTGCCAAGGTCCTCCTCGGCCCTCCCGTGGCTTTGCTCTCTTGAGGACGGCCACGTGAGGTCTGTCCGCCGGTTGCATGCCCCTGCTGCTGTGTGTGGCCTGGGTTCGTCACATCCTTGGCATGTGGTGGTGCCCGCTCCGCCCCCACCCTGTGGCCCTGGCCAGGACACCTGTCACCTCCGTGCTGTTCCACAAGCCGTCCCTTGTGGCTTCCGGCTGGACATGGCGCCTTTCCTGCCCTCCTCAGAACGAAGCCTGTGTGAGGGCGGCTCTCTGTGGAGGTGGCGCACCATGACCATGCGACCCAAACCCATGGGCGGCCAGGGTGAGGTGTGGCCTGTGGAGTTGGAGCCCTCCTTGGGGGCTCTGTGGGCCTGGCGGGCCTGCCCTCTGGGCATTCTGTCGGTGCGTGGGGCTCAGCCCTGGCCTCCCCGTCGCTGGCCTCCTCAACCCCACCCACCAGGCGCACGTCCAGGGGAGCCCACAGACCACTGGGAGGACACTGCTCAGAAGGGCTCCAGCCAGACACCGCGTCACTGTCAGAGAGGGGCCTGCCCACGTGTCTGCTCAGCCCCAGGGCGCGTGCTCAGGTGTCAGTGCTCCTCCTTCATCTCACTAAGATTCCTAATCTAAAAGCTGAGTGTACTGGAAAACTTACACAATCCATGGATCTGCCCCGGGGTTAGTAGGGAAAAACCAGCTGTCCACTGCAGCTGGCTGAGACACGAAGCCACCCCTTCCAGCTAAGAGCATGCTGACAGCTGCCTGGGCCGCACCCATGGCCCGGCTGTCCTGCCTGTTACCCTCTCCTCAACATGGACTTCCTGGGCCTGAGCTCAGGGCCTGGGCTCTCACTCCAGGCTAGCACTCTATCCCTTGAGCCACTTCTGGTTGGTGGTGAATTGGAGATCAGCATCCCAGACTTTGCTGCCTGGGCTGGCTTTGAAATGAGATCCTCAGATCTCAGTCTCCTGAGTAGTGAAGACTCAAGTTTATTCTCACCCTGGAGGAAACCTTCTTAAAGAAAGTACCAACTGAATGTGTGAAACGTGGGGTTGGGACTAACCGCATGTTCTTCCCCTCGGTCTTCTCTGGACGGCACTTTGTAGCCAGCAGCCGGCAGGTTGTGGGGATCTGTGTGTGGATCTGAGCCGAGGCAGGCAGGGCAGCTGCCGGCCAGGGGCCTGCCCTGGGGCCTCCAGCCTCTGCCGAATGTCTTGCTGTATGCTGGTAGAGACAGCGTGTGTGGGTTTCACTGGTGACTGTTGGCATTGTCACACTGTCATTCTGCACGGGCATCCAGCAGCCAGGCGTCTTGACTGTATGTGTTCTCCCCAGAGGCTGGCCGAGTGGAGATGCTAGACCATGCCGTCCTGCTGCAGGTGATCAAAGAGCAGCAGGTGCAGCAGAAGCGCCTCCTGGACCAGCAGGAGAAGCTGCTGGCTGTGATCGAGGAGCAACACAAGGAGATCCGCCAGCAGAGGCAGGACGAGGAAGAGGACAAGTCCAAGCCGGGTAGGCAGGGCCTGTGGGCTGGGCAGGTACTGGGTTGAAGCACATCTCCAGGGGTCGGGTCTGGAGCTCAGTGGCCTGAAGGTATAGAGGCTGTCTTTCCGTCTGGATCCAGGAGTCTCACCTGTGGGCAGGGAGTCCTTGGAACAGCCATCTGCGTCCATTTGCATACTAAACCGATGGCCGTGTTCCTTTGCAGCAGACATGCAGCCCGAGCCTGGGGTAGCTGTGCCCAAAGGACAGAAGGAGGTCCAGGAGGGGCCTGCGGGGGACATGGTGGAGGACGCCTCTCCGCAGCCTGTGCAGTCTATGCTTGGAGGTCCTGGGGGTCACCCCACGCCACCCCAAGAATTGGGCCAGGATTCCATGGTGGAGGCCAAGGAGCGGCCTGGTGGTGGCTCTGATTCGGACCCCCAGGCAGCCCAGCCTCAGCCCAAGTGGAGGGACCAGAAGGACGCCGTGCCCAAGGTGGTGGACACTGTGAAGGACTTGGAGCCAGGGCCCAGGCCGGACCCTCCTAGGGCACCTGGGATCCTGGAGAAGCGCCTGGCTGAGGAAGTCCCCAAGTTGGGCCAGCACGGCGTTGGTGGAGGTTCCCAAGAAAGGAAGCGTCCTGAAAAGGAAGTGGCCGCCGCTGGAGCTGACCGGCCAGGAGCAGGAACTGGTGGGCAGGCTGGGGATCCTCCAGTGAAGCGGAGGCAGTCGAGCCGAGACCTGGGGCCTGTGGTGGGCCCGTCTCATGCACCAGCAGGAATGGCCCCTGAGTCCCAGGCTGTGTTGGGTCAGCAGGAACCCCAGGCCGTCTCCAGTAAGGACCAGGATAGTCCCCCAGAGGCGAGAAAAGAGGCTCCCGGAGGGGACCGCGCACCTGCTCCTCACCAGCAGCAGAGAGCAAGGGAGGATGCCGCCCTCCGAGAGCCCGTTCAGAGGCCAGACCCAGACCCCGAGCCTGGGCCTAGACTAGCTGTCCCTGGGGGTCAGAAGCCAGACAATGCCAAACCCAACAGAGACCTGAAAGCGCAAGCCGGTGCCGACCTCCGGAGACGGCGGCGGGACATTGCCTCTGGCCCCCGGGGGGAGCCGGCCCCCAGGGATGGGGTCATCATCAGCTTTAACCCCCTGCCTGACGTCCAGGTGAATGACCTCCGCGGAGCCCTGGATGCCCAGCTCCGCCAGGCCGCGGGGGCCGCGCTGCAGGTGGTCCACAGCAGGCAGATGAAGCAGCTGCCGGGGGCCCTGGAGGAGGCCTGAGCACAGCCATGCCGCTGTGGCTGGGCAGCTGGCCGCCGTCCTACCGGTGGGGGACTCGTGAAGCCCCCACCACACAATGTCCTGGTTGTGGCTCGGCAGCACTTTCTCCGGCACTCTGCGGCCGGGGCTCCCGCGGGCCCCGCAGCCAGCTGGCCAGCACCGACACGCAGATTGCCCGCCCAAGGTCCGCTCGCAGACCAGCCGCACTTCTGTGTCTTCAGACTCACTGACCTCTGCCCCACTGGCCGAAGGGTTAATCCAACTCATGCTCTCTGCGGGAAGCTGTGTTCCAGCCCGCCTCCCGTTCCTCAGACTCATCTCCACGTCCTCCGTGCTGCTGCAGGAGACCTCCGTAAGCACCGCCCCCATCCCCGCTTCTAGGGGTGCTGCTCGAGGCCCAGGGGGTGGCCTGATGCCTTGGGTGGACACAGGGTGTGTCTCCCCCTGGGGTCCATTCTTTGAAATTGATTATAAAATTAAAAAAAAAAAAAAGTAAAAGACCATTTACACTTGTGAGTCAAGTTGGAACAGAGGTGACCTGAAGGAAAAGCCGTGAATTGGTTCTGGAAGGTGTCAGGCGGGGCAGCAGGGGCGGGGGGGGGGGGGGGGAGGCTGCCAACTGGGCAGGTCCGGCCTGTGGCCTGTGCTCTGGGGCGTGCAGCCCTGCTGTGGGGGTGGGGGCTGTGCCCTCCTGTGAGCACCGCAGGCTTCCTTCACACCCATGCTTGGGCCCAGCGTGCCCTGCCTGTGTCCGCCTGTGCCGGCAGCAGGCAGCCGGAGTTGCCTCCCCCTCCCCCCCGCCAGTGTGCTCGGCAGCCTTACTCCAGGTGCCACAGCAGGAGAGCATGGGTTTGCCATCCCTGGCAGACAGGGTGGGTGTACTTTGTCATCTGTTGGTCCAGAAGAGGCAATGGTGAGACAGACAGGGAGGAGCCTAGCCTGTTCCCCCAGTGCACCCCAGGCCCTGCCATGAGGGGCCTGGAAAGACCCCACGTGTGGACGTGCTCTGGAGTCCTGGTGCGGCTGTGTATGGCCAGACGTTTGGTCTTGTGACACCTGGTGGCCAGGCCAGCATTCATAGGCTGGCCCCCAGTGAGCCACCTACAAAACAGCTGCCCCCTTGGCAGCCCCAGGGCCCGGGTCATGGTGACGTAGGCTACTGCTGGTGGGGCCTGCCTCTGCTGTGGATGAGCCTGGCCAGCGGTGTGCAACTGCATGCTGCAGCTTTGGAGAACTTCCTTAGTTGGGGACAGGACATTTGCTGTGGGGTTGATATGGCCCGACGTTCAGCACTGCTGTGGGCGTGGAGGTGGACCTCAGCCTCCATCCTCACGCTCACTGGTGGCAAGGAGCCCATAGGATGCTCACAGCCTTCCGCCCCCGGATGCACCAGCACGGGACCTTGGACTTCCAGAGTCCAGACTGAGAAATACATTTCTGTTCTTTGCAACTTGCCAGTTTCAGTATTCTGCTGGGCAGCCCAGATGGACAGATATGCAGGAGCAGTCCCACACAGGACCCATCGGCTGGGGAGGCAGCCCGAGGAGAGAGAGTGTGGGAGCAAGTCACCAGAGGATCGGGAGGGAATTTGGTTGAGGGGCTGAAAGCAGTGGCTGAGGCCTGAGGCAAGGTTGGAGGCCTGGGCTGCGCCAGGAGTCTGCTGTCACCGGGGGTGGGAGTGGAGGAAGCACAGACCAATCACCAGGGGCCTGACCGGCGTGGCCAGTGTGGCTGACACTTGGAAGTCTTCAGCCCGTGAGCTGTGGTGGGTCAGAACACGGAAGTCTGTGCCATGAGACCTGGTCCTGGGTCGAATTCCAGGTAAGTTTAGGGACACTAAGTTAGTGCTTCTGAGATAGTCATTCCTGGCAACCCCTCTATTAGCTGCCACGGTGGTGGCAGCTCAGCCCAGGATGAAGCCAGAAATGGTCCCCAGTGGGACCAAGCCCAGCCATTCCAGAGCCTCTACAGTGGCTGACTTCCACTGTCTTGGAAGCCTCCCAGAAACAGCAGGACCGCCACCCTGAGGAGGCTCAGAGACGGAGAAGTCCCTGTGATGCCCAGCAGGTGGCACTGTGCAGCATGATGCAGGGGCGCAGCCGCGCTGAGTGAAGAGCATGTGGAGGGCAGGCACACTCCATGTCGGACCTGGGTGACCTGTGGGATGTGGGAGCAAAGCCAGGAGTGGCACACCTGGGCTTTGGCGCAGGCAGAGGCTGCAGGGGCAGCTTCTGCCCATGGAAGGGGCCGGCACAGTGGGGCGCTCTTGGCAGCCAAGCACTTGGCTGCTTTAGTCCAGCAAAGTCCTGCCCAAGCTCAGGTCTCCCATGCTACCTGCTCCCCTTTTGTGGTTGCTGGGCTTTCGCCTTCGGTGTGCCCTGGGCCTGGCTGTCAAGTTAGAGGCACAGCTTCTTTAGAGCAGATACTCCTGGTGAAGCAGTGCCTGGAGGGTAGAGTTCCACAGCCTAGACCTGCGTGTACGCTATGCATAAAAAGCTCAAAATGAAAGATGTAATACAACTCCACTGCTGGTTCACTCACATTTTAATCTGACTTAGATGCTTACATATACAACACTGGAAAACACCCAAGCACGCCACTGCTCACACCTCCTTTCAGCCCCAAGAGCATCCGTGTGCGCCATCAATATGAGGCATTTGTGCCCAGCCCATGGGCAGTGGGGGATGTGAGGACCGGAGCTAAGCTGCTTCCTAGGAGCCTCCCATCAGGGCCTTCTCAGCCTGAAAAACAAAGCATTTCATCTGAATGGCCGCTTCCAAACACCACATTCTACCTCGTATCTCACAGAAAACTTGGGAGCTGGTGTGTGGCAGGAGCCCCGGGGGCTAGGCGGAGATTGTGCCAGGTGCAGGCAGGGGTGGCGGGGCTGCCACGAGGGAGGCGGCATTGGTTCATGGTAACGTACTTGAAGTTAGGATTCTGGGAAACGCGTGCGTGTGTGCAGAACGGACACTGTGGGGCCGACCCAGAACCGCTTCCCACCCCGAGTTCCAATTCCCCGGGAGTCCACGGGGTCAAGAGCAACGCAGCGGCTTGGGAACACGGGCTCCCCACTATCGACTTCTCCCGGTCCTGTTCTGGAACATTCTCTACAGCCAGCTCCACCAGCCCGCTCAGGCAGCAGCACACACTGCGGGGCGCGCCGAGGGCCGGGGGCCGCGCCGTGGAGACCTCGGGCTCTCCTCGGCCCCTCG